CTTAATCAGCCAACTCTATAAGCTTCACAATGAGGAATCTCATAAATGTGATTTTGTAATAAGGGAACTATGTGTGCCCAGGAAAGATTTGTGTTCATTGCCATATTTAAAGGAGGTGCAGTGTTTTTCTGGGGTTTTTTTCATGACAGTTTTCTTGAAAACACAGTTTTACCAGCCTGGTTAACCATAGTTAGCCTCTCGTAGATCCCATTCCTAACTAGGAGCAAAATAGGTTCAAGCAGTGAAAAGATGGCCTTCTCGAGAATATACCAAGGTGCCATAAATGAAAGGATAAGTACATACACTGAAAGTAAACATATATGGACTAATAATCATGCTTTTTGTCAATAATGTAAAGGTTGGTAAAGAAAAGATAATTTAGAATCTGGGGAATATTTTTAGCAGACTATCATGCTAACTAGGCTGCCTGCCATAGCTAAATCTTTATGCAAGAAGCTGTTTATACAACATAAACACAAATGCAGGGACTGGATAAAAAATTCCATCATAGATTTGTGAATTCGGGCCCCTCAATTCAAAAGATGAACACAGGAAATGATTGGCTTGTAAAATCCATGGGGATACCTATCTGGAAATGCTCGAACAGCCATCTGTTTGCCCCAGAAATAACCTCACATGGGCACTGTCCAAAACCCTCCTTGAAGCAATTGAGTAGAGACTAATTATAAACATCAAGTGAACATTGTGGGATAGAACTTTTCCAAGGTAGCAGAGCACAGGGAATTCATGACTTTCCTGTGACTGACGTAACTCGGGAGAAAGAAGAGGTAAGGCTGAATGGCAACCGTCTTCTAAAGGATCCTTTCAGGCTCTCAAATGGATCTTCATTTCTTTCCTCTACAGTTATGGCAATGCCTTAATAATAGTTTATTATCTGGACAGGTTGGGCCATTTTCCTGTAGAACTACAATACTCACAATGGCTGTAACAAAAACAGATTTTATGTTTCCTAGCTTCAAATTTATCTACCCGATGATCAGGAAAATATCATACTGAGACAGTTGTTTATAAACTATGTAAATATTTGTCACTTTCTCAAAAACATTATTGTCTTTATCACCCCAAATACTTTGAAAAAGTATGACAAAAAAAAAAACAACATTAAAACTAAATCAGCTAACCATTCAGATACCTTTGAATTCCCATGGCTTCAAGTACTACCCTGAGCGCCTACGGCCCTGTGGTCTTGCCTCTCAGACATTCATTGATTGTCTCTTTATGAATCAGTCACAAACAGGCCCCTACAACTACAAATATTTCCATTCTCACTGGATTCCAAGAATTTAAATTTTGATCTAGCTAATCATTGTAGAAAGATAACAAAATATAATTAGTCGTACCACGAAGAGGATAAGTTCCATTTCCACAAAAACCACCTAACGAGCCCCTCACATGACCTAAAAACAGGTGACCTTACTATCCTGGAGAAAGATTACCCACAAACCTGCTGGGGAAAGACCTTATCAGGTGCTCTTATCTCTAATAAAGACGTTAAATGACAAGGAATTAATCTTTGGATACATATTTCTCAACTAAAATGACCACATATACAACCAGAATTGGAAATTATTCTAATTAAACATCTGAAACTGTTGATCTCCAGAGAGCTTCCAGAAGTGATTGGTGCCTAGAAATGAGCTACTAACATGAGATATTTGGAAAACACAGAGTTCTGCCCAAGACCATTGGAATTCTGTAGGTCACTCCCGTATTGCTATGCTTGAAAAAAAAAAAAAAAACACTATTCCTTTGGTCATACATACATTTCCTCTTTACTGTTTTAAGATTATAAACTTCTGACTTTGCCTTTTTTTTTCCATTTCATTAATAATACTTTCCTTAGGTTTAAGCTTTACTGGATAAAATCACTAAGTTAACTTTTCTAAGCAATTGCTAGGCACCAGTATTAAAAACAACAAAAAGTTATGCTTCACTTACTTTGCTAATAGTATTTTGAGTTAACACACAAATAAAGCAATGTCCTTTTTGTACATAAGGGGGATACACTGACTCTTGGGTTGTAACAGTGACTGTCATGATGATATCAAAAAACAATTGGTTTATTACAATGCCAATAAAGTTAACTGCATCTCTATTACAGTTTTTGGATTATCTATATAAGAGATTAGGCCCTTCAGTGACAGCTCAGGATTAAGAATAATTGTCTTGTGGGGCTAAAAGGTAGACCCTCCAGCACCCTCAAAAGGAATCCAAAGGGGTACAACGTTTTTGGAGAAATAAATAATTGGTAGAACAGATTTCTAAGAATATCAATTCCATCCATAGTAATAAATATAAGGCATCAAGCATTTAAAAGGGAAAGAGGATTTATGAATGAGTAGGAAAAGTGAGGTCTTTTTTTATGTCCAGACATGTCAGAAGATGAAAGGGAAGAATTTGTTTTTCTAAAAATTATTAGTATATTAAGACTCAGATCTTAATGGACCTGATCTGATTCTGGGGTTTAGGTTGTAGAAACCATGTATCACTTATCAGAGATCATGTCTGTAGTAAATGGGGATCCCTTGACTTCTAATTATCTACTGAGTCTTTTTACCTATCAGAATAAATGGCTATGTCCTAGACCCTGCTTGACTGATACAAGACTCTTAAAAAAGGTCAATTATTTGCCCTGAAATGGATTTTTTCTTTTTGGTAGTAGTTATCCAGGTGGGCTCCTGATGTACCAAATAAAAAAAATCTTACTTCTAGCGTTGTAGTAGACTTCCACAATTTGATTTTGTGGAAAAAATGGAGTCATCACAAATAAAAACCCATAAATTTTACTTTTATAGGAGTCATAATTTCACTAGGAAAAGGCAACTGTTTAATTTTTTTCTATCAAATTTGGTAATTTAAATACTTAAATAGCAGATGCTATTTAAAGTATGCTTCAATTTTCTCCTGGCATAGTTTGCTGATCATTATTTTCATGTGTGAAAAACGCAATTTAGTGAAAGTAAGTCCAGTTATCCTTGTGGAAGGATTTCCCAGTTACTAATTACACATGAAAGTTTCCTTTAGGCAGTGTTAAACTTTTAAAGTGGAAAAAGTATCATAATATCCTTCTGCATGTTTTATAACAGAAAAGAGCTTTGGAGGGAAACAAGTCACCATTTCATTACTATCATTCATAGTCATCAATAAATGTTAAAAGTTTAATTACAATATTCCCTGTAGGGCTTCATGGGCATATGAATAAGTTAGATATAAGGGCTTGGAACCCAATGACTGCATCATAATTACCTGTAAAACAGAACTTAAAGAAATGTAAAAGGAAATGTGTCTGTATGGAAAATGCTTTAAACAATTTTGGTACACTTTACAATTTATTTTGTCCTTTAATGAAACTCAGTAATATACTTTAGCATTTGTAGTATGTCCCTGGTCAGAGTGTTACGTATAACCACTTTAACTTTCTTGAAGTCAGTGTATAACTGATAAACTTAATTTGCTGTTTTAGTTCTTCTCATTGACATGATAAAAGGAAAGCAGAGAGAATTTTGAAGATAATCAAATGCTTTATGTAGGAAACTGCGTATATGAACTCCAATGCCTAGGGGATATTTAAATATTTTATTATGAAATTAGACAATTAAAAAATGAGATATATAATCTGCAATCAATAAGGTTCTGCATTAAACTGCAGATGATAAATGGTACAGAATAAATGGGGAGATAGCATTTTAAATTGTACCTTCTGCGAATTAAGGTGAATTTGCTGATGTAGAATCTGAAAATGATTGACAAGACACAACATCTTTGGACAATCAATGCAAATACTAGCTTTTTGAATTTAAAAAAAATACTAAATTAAAATCAAGACATTCACCAGTCTAGTCTATTGGGTTTATGCAACAATTAAGCAGAAATGTTATGAGAGCCATTTCATTTGACAGAATGATTTGTCCATATTGGAGTTAAGAAAAATGATTCAAGCTCTTTGATTCAGTTAGCAAAAAGATTTTGAAAGCTTTTCAAATTTATTCAGCTGCTTTCTGAACCCCGTAGCTACTTCTTAAAATTGACCACTAAATTTGCATACCAACATGAGAAACCGGAACAATTTTCAAGTAAAATCATCCAGACTTCTTTATTCTAACCCTGCCAAATTTCCTATTGAACTTCAAAATTTTTATTGATCACTCACTATCACCAACAGTATTGTTACTGCCTTTTTTCTTTGGATAAAATTACTCTTGCATTTCAGGAGACTGGCCTCCTCTCTCTCTTCTACATTCTTCTCCTCCTTCTTTTAAAATACTCTTGGGTGCAGAGTAAAGATAATTAATTAATGATAATCCTTGTTTCGTGACACACCATCATTACTAGTCCATGCATGGTTTCTTCCTTCCTTCCTCCTTTCCTTTCCTTTCCTTCCTTCCTTCCTTTCTTTCTGTCTCCTTTTCTTTCATTCTTAACATTAGTATGAAGGACTTCTGAAGCCCACTAGTTAACCAAGCGTTAGAGCATCAGCATTCAGTCATGTCTGCTTTCCTTCCTTCTCCCATTCTTCCTACTCCTTCAGGTTTGGAAGATTCAAGAGCAGAGGGACAAACATCACGAGATAAAATTAAGAAATGATCATAAGAGAGGACATTTTAGAGGCAAAGAATGAGGGGGCGATGGGCAGAGCAAGACGCAGACATGCAGTAGGGTCAAAGCAGATGCGCAGGGTGGACAGAGGAGCCCAGGGCGGCAGAGAGAAGGGTCTGTCTTCTCCACGCTCGGACTGCCTCTCAGCAGGAGCTTCCTGGAGGGTAATGACAGCTGACAAGCCACTTCGTCTTTGAGGTCTGGGGAGTGGTAATTTTTAAGATCTCTTCCAGCTGAGATAATATTATTCTTATCACTTCTAAATTCCCACACCTCATGGAGGATCACTCTGCCTTGTGTGACTAACTCATGTGGAATATTAGTTAAAGAGACGAGTTCAAAGTAACCTTCTCTGAATGTCAGTCAGTGTTTACTGGACTCACCCAGAGATGATGGTGTCTTCTCAGACTCTCCCTAACCTGAATCCTCTTTAGGACAGAATTCACTCTTGAGGCAACACCATGCAGTCCTCATCTGGGGTTAGAGATATTTAAACTTAAAATTAATTTTATTTTTTCATAAATATTGAATGAAATCGAAAAGAAATATGTTTACCTCTTTTTCTTCATCATTCCTATTACCAATTATTTATATATGTTGAAACTATTCATCAGTGCTGTCAGTGAATGACACTAGCACAGCATTCTTTATTTAAGCTTGAAGCAAATTCCATACTCATACTTTCAAACACTCTTATCTTGTTTTTCATTACATCCTAACATACAATTAAATCTGCTTACGCAGTCTATTGCTTATCTCCCTTCCACCACCTCAGAACGAAGACAAGGCAGAAATCTTTGATAACCAACACACTCCAAGCACTTGTAACTTCTTACACGTAGCAGGTGATCCTTCTATATTTGTAGGATGCATGACTGTATTCTACTTAGAAACTATATGTATTTCCAGTTAACAAAATCTAATTTTAATAAAGTAATTTATTTGTAACTTTCTTCATGAAAGAAATTAATATCCTCAAATGTGTTTTAAGGAGTAAATTCATACAGCCTCTCATTATCCATCACTCATTAGCACCTGTTCAAATATCACATAACATTCTGTCCAAATCCCTTGGAGGCAGATTTATTTCAGAAGTGCACATGTTTCACCCTTTTGGAAAATAATCCAGTGCATATATTGCTTTCTGTCACAACTCCAGGGAAATCTGAGATAATTCCCTTCAATCAAACATGTTGATGTATCTGCAGCAAAATACATGGTTACTCATTAAAGTGGGGTCAGTGTTCTATAATATGTTATAGGTACAAATTTAAGTGCATTGTGCATATGCTAATGTCAGGAACAGAACTCATTACACTTCATATATGTATATCAAATATTATTAATAATTTCTTATTATTGCTATGGATGTGTATTGTTTTGTAAAAGTATGCGTTGTGATTAAACAGTTCCTCAAAGTTTTCCAATTCATTGAGGGCAAGAATACTAAATTAAAAGTTGGAATTACCTGAATCATTCAGAGCTATGAAAAAATAAAAGACCCTCAAGGATTTTTAGAACTTAATTGGAAGACACAATATATGAGTTAAAGTAACTAAACAAGGAGGCTATTAGACTTACATGTCTTGCCTGCTTGGGGAACCTACGAAAATCTAAGCCAGAGTCCATGCCCTTGAATGTAAGAAAGTGAAAATTAAGAAGAACCAACCAGAAACAGCCAACTAGGCTTTTCCTGAAGAGGCAACTGCCTAAACTATTGCAAATAAATAATATCCTTGATTTGCTCTGTCAAAACTTCCCCACTTTCAGTGTGGTGCTCCCTGATTTGATGGCTGCTCAAAAAAACTCTTCAAAATTTTAATGTGCCTATTACCTTTTAATGTGTACATATAGACCAATTTTTCAATAGAAGTTAATATGGATTAAATGCAAGAATTAATGGTATGGATTCTAAATGGTATTATTTTCATACAAGTTGATTTAGTGGTCAAGGTAGGATAATAAGGAGAATGTGCCAATTGAACTGGGTATATGGGCAACAAATGGAGAGGTTTTAAGACCCAACAAAGGGACCAGTTGTCAGTCGGAGTCAGCAAGCGGCAGTAGGAGAACCAGAGGATTTTAACCCAGAAATGTTGATGCTGCTGTTTGGACCCAGCTGGGTCCAAAAGACCCTGCATAGTGAAGTCGCTGGGGGATCTTTCATGCAGTTATGTGTGAAAAGACATTTTGACCCTTTTTCCACACTAACTCATCCCATTACAGCAGACTTTTGCTTCCACAAAATTCATTTTAATTTTTTTGCCTTAATTAAGATGTTAGTTTTATAATTACAAAAAACCTAGTTACTAAGTTTATCAGTTCTCTTTCATCTAAATTCTATTGCTTATCAACCAAATGTACTGCTTAGTAAAGGAACATTAGCATCATTGTCTAAATTTTAACAGATTTGTTCACATTTGTCCAAAGAACCTCATAAACATCATTTTGTTAGCTTCAGGATTAAGTAAAATGAAGAAGCTAAACATTTATAATGTACATGTTTCTCATCAGAGCATGAATGCATCTTCATGGATTAACCAATCTAGTAGCTTTTTACTTCGGAATTTTTCACTTGCTTCTTTTTCAAGAGCATCATATTTTGCCATTTTTACAACTTCCACTTTTCCTTATTATTTTTTATCAGTTGTATACATATTCAATCACTTATTAGGTCAAACTGATTTTTAATACTGAAACACTACTGTTTTTAAGCAAGATAGATAACTTTTTTTTGAATGACAGTTCCAAAGATAATTTCTAAAACTATGTAATTTTAGAAGTTAAACTTTCTTAACACATATAACAAATGTAATAATATATGATCACATATTTCCGCAAAGCTTATCTCTGATATCACATTTTCAATTAAAATGCAAGGTAAAAAAATTATTTTCAAACTGCTCTTGCATCTCTTCAGTACATAGTTCTCTTTGAAGTATAAATAATCTTCAGATTTCATTATTTTAGTTCTCTGCTCTTCAGAGTCATTATTTAATTATCTCTGGTATTTACTTGATATGTTATAGGAAAATGTATAATTTATAAAGACAAAATTTTATGTAATTTTTTTGATTTAGATATTTTATTGAGTGATCCATAATTAACTGATCATGGTATGGTACTTAGTGGCAAATTAAGATCCATTTATTCCCCTAAAATGTTGGCTAAAATTGCAAACTCTCTTCTGTCATTACCTCAGTACAATCTATAGAAATGTAATAAGGTTTTTATGTGAATACTTCATATTGGAACATTTCTCTCAAGTGCTAGCAATATACAATTACATATATTATTTTGGTTATTGTCTGTGTGGGCCACAGGGATTTAAATAAAAATAAATGCAGTTTCTGTTCCATAGATTCAAAAGATTTATTTTTATGATACCTTAAAGAAATGCTAACAATCTTATCCAAACTTTATTTTTTTATTCTGTCCTAGTTTGTAGTATTTTCCTAGAATTCCTGAATTTATAACAAGAATGCATAAATTGTATTTATACAAGAGTTATCACATATACCAGAAAAAAAAATTTTTCCAGCTGTTTAGAAATGGAAACAATGACCTGTTCTGTGAATAGCAGCACACCAGTAGCTCTAAAGCAGTGCCCTAGAGAAGGAGCAGTAAACACTGCCCGTGGGGACACTTAGAGGCACGTCTACACTGCAGGACCCAACACTGACGTGGCTGTGACGCACGGACCCCGCCCCCTCTGTTACTGCACACTGCAGCATTCATATGAGAACGTAGGTCTTTAATTTTCCTGCATTCTAGAGATTAATGCTATGTATTTAAGCATAGGAATAGATTTATTTCAGCATTTTAACAATTGAAAGAGCCATGTCAATGGGTACCAACTCTGTTCATAAATTATTTCCCTATCGGAGAGGGGGTAAATTTGGGTATAAGGTTCTGGGTGTGTTTGACAACAGGGTGACAGTGTCCCCTTTGCTCATTAACTGGTACCTTAAAAGGAGAGAATGGAATACAAATATAGCAATTTATTTTCTGGCAAAGCCAAATATTCTGCTCATTATAATAGCAACATTAAAGTGAATATGTCAAAATGTGCTTGGTGTTAAAATGGCTGTGTCAAGATATTGTATAGCCGTAGGAAGTATTAAGAGAGAAGATTCAACAACCAGGTAAGTCGGAATAAAACGATAGATGTCTTTGGGGTGCACTGTAATTAATTCTATAGGACAATAATAATTCCTGGGATTTTATCAGGGGACCACTGTAGCGGAAATGGTGTTTTGGAAGATTAATTTAATCCATAGCTAAGATAGTTTAGAGTTCGGAGTACATAAAGCAAAAGGTCAGTTAATTACTATTATTCTCTAAGATTAAAATAAAAAGTCAGATAGGAGTGGAAATGAGAAGAGGTATTTCAAAGATAGAAAACATGGGATTAGGAGAATTATCATGCATTTGAGATGAAAAATATCAACAGATATTAAATTTAAAATTCCAGTTTATTTTCCTTACATGTATTTAAAAAAAATTCAAGTGTAGTCTACCTGGGGCTTGGGCAGTTACTCTGTGTTCTTGCCAGGGACCTAGGTTCACAAGGGTTCCCCAGACAGGAAGGAGAGGGAAGGGAAAAGACCTGGAAAAGGTGCACTGGGGCCATTTATCTAGAAAGGAAAATAATTACACAGACTCTTCAGATTTTCCCCGTGGATTCCCCCCTCATTCGTTAGAGCTGCATCACGTGACCATTGGCTGCTGACCACTAGGACCCCAGTGTCTGCTTCAGCAAGGTGCGGGTCTCTCATCTTTTGGGTGGGGCAATGGCAAGTTCCAGGGGAGATTGAGAGACCGGGTACTTACGCCCCTGCCTCTCTTAGGGTCTGCAGTGTGGCAGTGATGAAGTCCTTGCAGGTCAGGGGGCTCCCTCCCGCAGTTTCTGCTCTCGTGGGGTCAGTGTGGAGTCTCTTCCCCCCTCGGCCCCTTTGGCTTAGCTTGGTGGCTAACCTCAGCCCAGTCGACACCTCGTTGAATAGTTCCTGCAGTTCCGCAGTTACTTCTTTTGTGAGTGCTACTTGTTTCCCGAGAAAACCCAGACTAATATCTGAGAAAACAAATAGTTTTAAATACAAAATTGTCTCTGGGTAAAACTGGGGAAACAGGAGTCAATAGACATTGGGTGGAAAGTCAGCAAGTAAGAAAACAGTTGGTTAATACAATAATGAAACAAACTCTTGAATTTGCCTGAAAAAGACAACCTAGCGGAAAATTTTAAACAGCTAATAAATTATTCTTATGTGAAGGTGAATGTCAGGTTGCATAATTTTAAGTATTTAGATACTAATAGGGATAAGAAAATATACCAACAGTATGTTCATATTTTAAAAAATACTTAAAAGCGTATTCTTATCAAATGGACGTATCACATTTTTTCTGAAAAAAACCCTCTACTATTCAAATAATAATTCAAAACAGTAATCAAGATTTTAAGTTTGAAATTATAA